TGCCCCCAAACCCATGATAATTGTGAAAAAGTGGCATTAAAAACTTAAAAAAAACGTCGGTCTCCAATGTTTCAAACATGTATTTCATACATGTCCTTATACAGAGAAGATCAGGCTACTAGTAATATAGCAACATGCCGGACGAATTTACGCTTATCCGATTGCGTTTGTACTTATTCACTGCCGGCTAGTCGGCTGGTCAGGCAGTAGGCAGTTGCAGTTGTGCTTGGACGGGTCGGTCGTGACAGACTAGGAATACGACGCGAGAAGTGCCGAGCATTTATTATTTTCATTTTAAGTGTTTACCTTCACTTAAGGTAACATTTAAAATAAAAATACGTAAATATTTATTATTAGAGCGTGTTTACAAGCCAAAACTAAACCCAAAACTCATTTCCAAAATTAAAAAATACCTCAATAAAATAAAAAAAAACTCAAATATTACTCTAAATAAAAAAAAGTTATAACAAGTGTTCAAAAAGAGCACCTTCTTGTGCTAGATAGAAGCCTAGGCGGTCGTAAAATCCCCGTCTGACATTGGCTAACATATTAGGGCTAATAGTTTGGAAAGCCTCTCGTATTTTTACTTGAAGCTGATCCAGATTATTAGCCCTATTATGACCATACACTTTGGATTTTACATAACCCCACAAAAAGAAATCATTGAGAGAAAGATCTGGTGATCTAGCGGGCCACAAAATAGTTCCATATCCACTAACTGAACGGTTGGGAAAAGTATTGTTCAAATATTCTTGAACAATACAGGCATTGCGGGCAGGGCAACCATCTTGTTGAAACCAGACATTGTGGAATCTTTCTCCCAATAACTCACGAATTCTAGGCACAATCTGCTGTTGTAACAAGTCCAAATACTTTGCAACAGTTAAATTACCCTCTACAAAAATTGACCAATCATATGCTCCCCTACAAAACCACCCCAAACATTTCGCTTTTGAGGATATTGCGTGCGTACCTCAAAATATTTGTGCAAATTTTCCCGAGACCAATATCGTACTTGTGTAGGATTATGACGACTCAATAAATGAAAACTTAATTCGTCTAAACTAAACTATACGCCGAATAAAGTTTTCATCTAAATTGGCCTTTTCCATTACAGATTCACAAAACGCCATATGCCGAAATTGGTCTTCATAGAAAATTTCTTGAGTTTTGCGCGCTTTATACGATCGGTTTCCATTCTTTTTAAGGACTCTTTTAACCGTGCTATGTGAAGAATCTGTTACCTCAGCAATTTGATTACTTGAAAACGTGGGATTTTGATCCGCGGAAGCACAAATGAACACTTGCTTTAACTCCTGTTCTTCATTAATCAACACATCAGGCTTTTTGTGTTTTTGTGGGGACACGCACCCATGTGTTTCAAAATTATTAATAACTCTTGATATAGTAGGTAAAGATGGAATTGGCCTGTTTACAAAAGTTTGTGGAAAAATTGTTTGTATATCCCGATAAGACCTATTTTGGAAATACCATTTTACAATTTGGATTTTCTCACGAACTTCGTAAACATCCATTATTTTACTTAAAAAATAAATTTTAGACGAGAGCTGCCGCGAGAATCTATGTATTCGTTTTGTCTATTAAAACACGAATAAATACAAATTCTGAAACATTCTTATCACATATCTACCTATTTTTATTTTATCGCATTTTTTCGCTTGCTTTTTATCCGGCGGACGGGTATACGCTAATTCGTCCGGTTCTGCCTATGTTACTACTACGGTGGTCCGGTCTGTATAAAATAAAGTTTCTTATATGCAACACACTATATTTTGTTTAAAAAAATAAAAGAAAATAATAATAAATTTGAATAAACAATATTTGGCGATATAATTCCGGAAAAAGCCGAACCGCTCAGAAATTATCAAAAGCTTTGGATCGCGACCGTTGCAAGAATAGCGCCAAATAGTTTTTACATTGTCCTTATGGGTACTTTTCAATCTAAACTTGTTACTTTTATCTATGTCATGTGTTAATTTAAGGATTGTTTCTCGACCGTACTTTAGTATAAAGGACAAAATCTCAGGTTATATCGGTCTGTTTTCATTCAATGACACTCATTTATTCATTAAAGATAGAGAAGTAATTTATAATGTGTGGTGTGCATGTACCGATATTTTAACTCTAATTCTTGGTACCTCCTGATGATGTTAGTGACCACTAACGAAATATAGAGGCTTTAATGAATAAATGAGGGTTATTGAAAGAAAACAAACCGATATTACCTGATATTTTGTCATTTATGTCATGTGTTATGTACACACAACCAAACTTATATGAAATCACTCTTTATTTCTGCCTAAATTTCTTGCAAGGAAAAAATTGGTATGCAACTTTAAGACAAGGCTGTTTGTTGTAAATAAACATGATAATAAAGAATAACCGACTACTGCGATTTATTTTTTTTTCTTGAATTTTATGTTCAGTTAGATTAGGCGACCCAAAAAATTAAAAAATGCCTTATGTTGGATTAACAGATTTATAGAGGGAAAGAATTATTGCTCTCATTGAAGAAGGAATACCCCAAAGAGACGTAGCAGAGATAGTAGGCGTTATCCAGGGTGTTGTATCGAAAACATAAGCAAGGTACTTAGAATTAGGAACACACCAGAACAGGTCCAGACAAGGTCGTCAAAGAGTCACAACTAAACAACAAGACCGCCTCGTGTGCCAAATTGCTAGAAGAAATCCCAATGTTTCTCATCCAGAGCTACCAAGACAACTTCTGACAGCTACTACAGGTGTGAACGTTTCAGTTGAAACCATAAGAAAAAGGCTTCGTGCTCGGGGGTTTTACAGCAAGAGAGAGTACGTATCCCTCAGTTACCTCGGAAAATAAAATTGACCGGTTAAATTGATAGCTTCAAAATCAAAACTGCACAACTGAGAATTGGCGAAATGTTCTTTTTTCGGATGAGACCAGAATTGGCCTAAGATCAGATGACCATCAAATTCCGGTTTTCAGAGCTCCAGGAAGACGAGCGAGACTCCAGGCTGCCAAATTTGTACCAAGATATAAAGGAGGAACTGTAATGTTCTGGGGAGGTATTATGCTGGAAGCAAAAACTCCATTCTTACCACTTCAACAAACTTTAATTAGTCGGAGGTATGTTAATTTAGTGCTAGAACCTTCGCTAGTCTTTGGAGAGCTGCAATTGAGGATAATTTTAACTTCATACAAGATAGTACACTTTCCCATACCAGCAGAGTGACTAGAGAATGTTTTGAAACGGAAGGTGTGATTGTTTTGGACTGGCCTGCATGTTCACCATATCTAAACCCTATCACTTGTGGGACCAGCTCAAAAGAAGAGTTAGAGCTCGTCGAAACAATATCCGTCCCTATAATAAACATACCCCAAGACAACGTTGGTAATTTAATAAAAAGCATGCTAGTGCGGATAGAAGCTTGCATAAGGGCTAGAGGTGACAACAAGAATCATTAAAATTATCAATTTTCTTTTTAATTTTGCTTTTTGGCCATTAAAAATTTAAATCTTAATTTCGTTTCAGAAACCAAAAAAATACGATTGTGTTTATTTTGGGAACTGATAATTTTTTATTGCTATATGGATTATTATTATTCATTAAAGGTCATTGGTAAGGATTGAGTTTTATCCATAAACACAAAATTTTCATACGTCTCATGGTGCGTTTAGACTTTTAGCACGCACGAGCTGAGCGTGCGCGCACGGCATTCGTTCGCGCTCCCGGCTCCGTTCAAATTAAAAACTTATTTTTCGATGAATGAAGTGATCCATTTGTGCGCCCACAGCAGAGTTGTGTGGGCGAAAATAATGGACGACCAAAAAATAGTCGAGGCTGCAGTCATTGTTATGCACACCTTAATTATTAAAAAGGAGAAAAATCGAAAACATCGTCGCTGGTGGCAAACCCAAATTTTTAAAAATCGATATAATTTACTGCAACAACTTGGTGTCTGAGGAGGGCTATGATCAGTTCAGAAACTTTACAAGAATGACCAGATCCGACTTTGAATATTTACAAAATTTAATAACACCAAAAATTACGAACAAAAGATACAAATTTTAGAATAGCAATTTCATTAATATCGACATATTCAATATTCATTTTTTTTACAAGATCTTGCCATGCGTTTTTTTTTTATTTTTTAATAATACAAAGAATGTTTAACATCTCATAATATAGGCAACTTTTCATATTCTTCAATTAATAATAACGAAGATTCATTGATCCACTCCATAATTTTAATAAAGAAAACAAAAAAAATCAAACACGCACGCACGAACACAGACAAAACAAATTGCCAGTGCAAACTGAGCGTTCGCGCACACATAAAATCTCTTTGAGCACGGACCAAAAACCGATACCAGACGGCTCACGTTCGCGGCTGCTCGCGCACAGACAAATTCAGAGTGAGAAACTTGAGCATTCGCGGATGATCAGTGCGTGCGTGCTCAAGTCTAAACGCACCATCAGAAATTATAAAAAATAATAGATGACTCCATATAAGTTTGGTTATGTGTATCCTCGGTAACGTCAAATATGAGTCCACCCCCAAATAGTAAAAAAATTAAATTAAAATAATTTAAAGTTCAGTACATAATCCGCATATTTTCTTGTTTAAAATTACCACTAAAAATGGTTGCTTTTTGATCAAAAAAATCTATGTCTAAATAGTTTACCGGACCTCTTAGATAAACGTAATTAATAAACAAAAATAATTTTGGCACATCTTAGCACTGCAAAACTTCAATAAAATGTAGATATTTCTGCAAATGTATTCCATTTGACGTGAAAATATTGCGTGACTGGCGCTACATTAAATTTAGTCTAAGGACTACAGCTAAAAAAAGCAGTAAAAATTCGTCATATGCCACGTGAGCTAGTATGGCGCCTAGACGTGCTTTCCTTGTACGAAGATTCATTTGAGAAACAGAGTGTTTTTGACATTAGTTTAATTCTTTTTATACTAAAAATGTAAATTTACTTACATACCTTGAACTAGTGGAAAATGTCTTACTTCTTTAACAATTTTAGGGTCTTTATCTTCTGATAAATTATTGTTATTTTTATTACCAAATCTCACTTTCAAAAAATGCATTGTTTTTAATCATAAATCTAATTGTAGGCAGGACAGTCCTAAAATTAAAGTTTCATTGAAAGATTCTTTAAAGGTTCGTAATATGGTACCTTTACGGACTGTCCTTGGAACGCTTCTAAGAGGAAATGTGTCAAAGTTCTTTTAAAATACCAGAAATTTTTCGAGACTTGACTTCCAGTTTGTCAGTAGATATATTCCATGACATATTAAAAAGGTATTTTGAATTATAACCTTATCGCCGAATGTTTGATGGACGTTGTCATAATGTACAGTATAACCATATAACCAGTTTTTGTAAACCATTATAAGCTCAAGGGTTTTTTTTGTTACATCCATTCCGCCGAAACCGCTTCACCAATCTTGATGATTATATTTTTAAAGGTCTAGATTTGTTATGAAGCATTTTTAAATCGTTTAATCGCCATTTCTTTATGTAAAACGAATAAATATTAAAACATACCTGAAAAACACCTACACACAATACCTCCAGAAATAAATTATTTGGCATTGTCAGTGGTGTGTGATTTAGATTATATATCAAGTTTTTAGATATTTTAGGGGTCAGTTCATACCGCCAGCTTTAGATACATAAATATTAACACAAAAATTCGTCTACTTTAAATGACATTAGTGATTAGTGAATTAGCCACGCAAAGCGATTTTAGGAAATCCATCCTATTAGAGTGTAAAATTATGTCGAACAATTTGTTGTATGAAAATTGCTTACTATCTGGTCTAGAAGAGTGAAATTCTAAAGAAAGAAAAGAATTAGAAGAGATTTTTGAAATTCATAAACCAAATGGGTAAAGTTGGTAAAAATTTATATAAACCTTCGTGACCTCTGGATTATACACATAAAAATTTGCACAAAGACATGAGTTAATTATTTGGATATAGCAAATTTATGAAATTCATATCCTTAGGGAGTAGAATAGAGAATGAAACTTAGCTGTAACGAAAATGCATTACTATAATGTCTAGTATAAAATTTTATACAAGGGTTTATTTAGTGACATCAATAATATGAGCGAAATATTTCTCCTTCAAATCATCCCTCTAGGAATAAAAAATAACGTATAAAGAGAGTATTAGTGTTCTTGAAAAATAAAAAAAAAATCAGGGGAGCATATCAAGAAAAGCGACAATTGAGAACTTCAAATATTCAATTGAATACTTTATATGTTAAAGCTACCTATTTATTTTAGTAATACAGTTTATATGGGATCATACGTAGGGTTCTATCTATAGAGGGTAAATGTCATTTCACTATTTATTTTTTTCGAGAGATTTTTTATTTTCAGATTTTGCAAAATTTCGACTTTGGTTCGAATTCTAAAATACCCTATACATAATTAAGACATAAAAAAACTGCCACGGAAGAGCGCCATCCACCCTCTATTCAACCAGTCAATGAAAGTAGATAGAAAAATTTGAAAAAAAGTGTTAAAAAGGAAGATATCAAAATCATTTTGGGGCCAAAGTTGAACTTTTTTGAAATACTTTGATTTCGATAACTTCTAGAATTATTAGCATTGTTTATTTCTTGAGTCTAATTAAAAGTTTTATTTTTGGTATACAAAGTGTGTCATAAAGTCATATACAGGGGATGAAAAAATAAAAAACGGTTTTGAAATTTTCGCATTTTTTTAAATACATAATAATATTTCAAGAGAATATAAATGCTCTTGAAATTGGTGTATTGACTGCTTTTTACAAATAAGAAAAACGGTAAAAAGATAATATGTGTCCTTTATAGAGATCTACTAGCCCTGAAAATATTTGCACTTATTCAAGACTTGCCCTATATAATACCCAGAAAATCGACAATTATTGCAAACTTTCATATAAAATACGAGTAGCTCTAAAACTGTTAATAGCGTAGTTTAAAAATCATCATCATCAAAACAATCATTTAAATAAATGCATGAATGATTCGAGGTGTAACGCCAATGTAGTCGCGGAAAAAAGCTAGTATCAAAAAAATCAACTAAATAAAAAAATATCTGTTATATAATATTTATTTTCTTTGTTTTATAGAGTTTATTTTATTAACTTTTGGGACACAAACAGAACAAATAGTACAGTATCCACTTGTTAATATAATTTTAGCAAACAGATAGCTTATAGTCTAAAACAAAGAAAAGGCAACGGCCTAGCTACGTTGAAACACCGGTTCCCATTAGAACACCGAAGTTAAGCGACGTAAGGCGATACCGGTGGATGGACGGGTGACCGGTTCGAAACTCTGTATCGTGCTGTTGTCCAGGGGAAAAGTGTAAAATCTATTGACACACACTGCTCATTCACGCCGGTTCGAGGCCGGATGAGATCGGATATCTCGTGAGTAAGAGTTAATTTAGACACTTCCTAAGTCGGTAGGCCACTGACCATGATATGGCCGAGGACCGCGGTTCGGATTCAGCGTAAACAAAGGAGGCCCCGTCCAGATTAGCCCTGGCAGCAAAAAGGAGACGTTAACTGAAATCTTTACTTTACTTTCACTTTTAAAACAAAGAAAGGAAAAATTCTATAAAAGAAAAACATTTGAAATGCGTACTAATAAAATTAAAATTAAACCATTAAAACTAACAAGGATTTTTCGAAATTCCAGTTCCAAGACGGTGAAACCACCCTTCAAATATTACAATATTTTTTATTTAAAAAACGGTCAAGTTTCCGAAAAAACGCTTAAACACGTATATTTTATTTTGTTTTTTTACATATTTTAAGATTTTTTAAAAATGTATACAGGGTGTTTAGAAAAAATCTAGTCATTGATTAATTACGATCCTGCTTAAAGCGCTTGACCTAAAAAGCTGATTTTTGGAAAACAGATTGACTTTAGGGTGTAGAGGTTCGATAAGAAGGGATTTTTCGAAACTCGAATTCTAAGGGGGTGAAACTATCCCTCAAATATTAAAATATTTTTTATTTAAAAACCGGTGAGTTTTTCGGAAAAACTCTTAAGCACGTATATTTTATTTTGTTGTTTTACATATTTTAAGATTTTTTATAAATTTATACAGGGTGTTTCATAAAATATGACCATTGAGTAATCACGATTCTGCTTAAACTGCTTGACGTTTAAAGTTGATTTTTGGCAAACGGATTGACTATGGGGTGTAGAGGTTCGATAAGCAGAGGTTTCTCGAATCTCAAATTCCAAAAGGGTAAAAACGCCCCTCAAATATTACAATATTTGTTATTTAAAAAACGGTTAGTCTTTCGGGTAAACGCTTGGACAAGCATAATTTGTTTGGTTTTTTTACATATTTTGAAATTTTTAAAAAATCATACAGGATGTTCCAAAAAGTTGGGTAATTTCTTAACCACGATGATGCTTAAACTGCTTGACGTAAAAAGCTTATTTCTGGCAAACGGATTTTTCGAAAGTCAAATTCCAACGAGATGAAACTACCCCTCAAATATTACCAAGTTATATACTAATATCGCCATATTGTTTTTTCTCATGCTGACATAAATGTGAGAAAATTTTATCCAGTTTGTATGTTAATGGAAATTCCTGCTTTGCTTTATAATCACCATTACAAATGATTAATTCGACGCGAACGAAGTCGCTGGTACACGCTAGTAGTATTATAAGCATACACGCTTAATGTTTGTTTCCACTGATCTTTTCGGAAAAAACCGCGTTGTTCCTCAATCACTTTATCTTTGACTTTACAGCAAACACGTTCATAAACAAATTCCTCCAGAATATTTCCAAGAATATTTAACTTGCTAATACGCCTATAATTTTAAATATCCGAGTTCATGGCTCCTTTAAAGACTGGCATAATAATATATGGGACATCTAGGACACATAATGAGGAACCAAAAGACATACGGTCTACTTCAGTTCATACTCAAGGCTTAAGTCGCGTACACATCTGAGCAAACGAACCGAATGAGCACTCTGAACCGAATGAGCGAATTGTGTTTTTTCCGCACAGAACCGCATGAGCCTGCATTCGGAGGCGCTCCAGTGTTTGTGTCCGGATTTAGTGAGAAACATGGAACATTTAGGAGTAGCTAGTGCTGCGTTCATAGTTATTTTGAGTTGCTAAAGAAAAATAGGCGACGACGTCGTACTAGATGGTCTTCACAATTATATCTTCAAAGAAGTCGAGATTGGAGCCTTAGCAGTTTTTTTTTATTGCACGACATCCGAAGCGACGGCGATGGCAGGCGAATTAAAAATTTCACAAGAATGTCAGAAAGTGATTTTTCATTTCTTCTAAATTAAGGACAAAATATTTAAGGACAAAGGACAAAATATCCAGAAGAGATACGTACTTCCGAAAGGCGATTCTCGCAAGTTTGAATTGAAGTCTCAGGAAAAAACTCTCAGGCTCACTCCTAGAAAGTCTCAGATAAATTCAAACTTACCTTGTCCCGCTCTAACATTCTTTTTAACTTTTGCTTTTTCTCGCCGATAAGAACCCTTTAGATATATCTATTTTTTTGCATCTTTACGTATCTATTTTTTTTTGCATCTTGCCGACGACGTCCCTGTTCACTTTTTCAGCAATTTCCCTCTAAGATTCTTTTCTTTCCATAAAATAGGCCATTTCTCAAATTCTTTGATTAATTGTAAACACCTGTCTTCCGAAAAATCCATGTCGTACCATCCACCGTTCGGTGTACATACGCTACTAAAAACCCGTCCAGACTGAGCACGAATTTCCTTTGATGGACCGACAACTCTCGGATCGGCTGGCGCAGCGCATGAGCGTGTTCAGCGCAGTGCGTAGAGTACGTCTGTCCGTTCTGTAGCTACGGGGTATCCGTGAGAGGGGAACAATATTCTCTCGATGTTTTTCGTAAAAAATGAGACGACGCGTACCCTCAAAAAAATTCGACAAATTTGCAAATAGCCAATAAAATGAGTGGGCGGAGCGATTTGCGGTGACGTACTCGTCAAATCGACGTATAAAATATATTGCTGTTTATTTAAATGTTTTTTGTCCGCATTCCTTTCATAGACACAGATCCAGCAGACGTACTGTACGTCCGTCTATATTTGAATGCTCCTTCGGCTCAAAGTGCTCATTCGGTTCGTTTGCTCAGATGTGTACGCGGCTTTAGGCAAAAGAGGACCTGGAAGGCGTAGAATCTCCTGGTTGAATAACCTCAGAAGTTGGTTTTCCCTTTCTACAGGAGGATTATTTAGAGCAGCAGCCAGTAAAGTTTGAATCGCTTTGCTTATCGCCAAC